GGTGGGGACATGTCTGTCTCTGTACAACACTGGGGTACAGTGCTGGGGTGAACAGATCTGACAATGGTGTGAGCATGAATTGGCAGCAATAACTAAAGATGTTCAGACAGTATTAAAGTCAGCCGTTAAGAGATTGATATCATGATCAGCTGCCAGGGAATCTAATGAGCCAGCTTAATGTACTGGCCCCAGCCTACATGTGTAAAGCAGAACATCTTGGCTTTGTTTGCCAATCATGTTTTGTGCCAACAACTGACACAAGAGACATCCACCTCTGCACTAAATCCTCCTTCATTGCTGGCTCCTGCTTGCGCCAGGGTTTTTCATTCATAGCCTGATGACCTCCAGCAGAAACAGACCTTGAAGTCATGATGTTAAAAATAAAAATGAGAATAAAAGCTGACTAACACAGTATTATTTTCAACAGCTTTATCAACCAGGCTCTGTGGTTTCACTTGTCCTCTACCAGTACCAGGACGCTCTGAGCAGTCAACAACTGCCTTCCTTTAAGCAACTGAATAAGCAGGAACGACGAAACAACATCCAAAGCAATGACTTTGAGCAACTAACTCTCTCTCCCTAAAGTTAAGCAGCAATGTTTTTGGCACAGTTGTGTTCGAGGTGGATTATGGATCCGGTATTGTTCACTGAGGACTCCTGGGAATAGAATCATAGAATCCCTACAGTGTGGGAGCAAGCCATTAAGCCCATTGAATCCACGTTGACACTGCAAACAGCATCCCACCCAGACCCTCCCCCCTACCCTATCCCTATATTTGCCATGGCTAATCCACCTAGCCTGCACATCCCTGGACACTATGGATAATTTAGCATGACCAATCTACCTATCTCACATATCTTTGGACTGTGGGAGGAAACCGGAGCACCCAGAGGAAACCCACACAGACACGGGGAGAATGTGCAAACTCCACACAGACAGTCGCCCGAGGTTGGAATCAAACCCGAGTTCCTAGCGCTGTGAGGCAGCAGTGCTAACCACTGAGCCACTGTGCCACCCAAATGTACCTAATACACCCTCTGAAAAGTGTCAGTACTTAGCGGAGTTTGTTAGTTGTTGTTAAGATTTGACAGGCGTCTCGGATTCTGTTTGTATTTATTGGGGTCTCCACTGTGCCCCTGGTAATACTTTGGACAGAGAATGGAAGTTACAAATTGGTCCCTCATTGTGTGACTAGTGCTGTAGTGTGTGATACTCGGTGACAATGATCATTGTTGGCTTTCGTGTTTTTGTCACCTCTCATTCTAACAGCCCCTGACAGAGCTCCTGTCATCGGTGTCTTCGTGCCTAATGCACTATACAGACCTTACAAATCAGCTTGCCCATTTCATCATCATTCAACTCTCTACCCCGGTCTGTGGGAGTTCCAGTAAGCTCCAGCTCATTGCAAGGTCAACACAAAATGAACACTACTGATTGAAACATTAGCTATCTTTCCCCGGCCCCACTCTCCGAGGTACACTGTGAACTGCTACAGACTGCATTCTGGCTCAGAACAGAAGTAACTATAACTTGGCGACGTTTGTGTATAATTGTATATGTGTGCAGTGGGATCTATCGTCTCAAAGGGGATGGGGCTTGTTCAGTTGTGGAGGACTTTAGGGAGAGGTGGGAATGGGTGGTGGTTAATTGTACCTGCTAAGCACAATAAGACTGGCATATCAGTCACAGATAATTTGACATTCAATCCCATTTACACTGATTCAAGGTAACGAAGGTTTCCCAGCAACCCCTGAATCGTAGGTTTCAGCAGCAGGGAGATGGAGCTTTTGGAGGTGCCTAGCATAGTCCAGGGACTTCCAAAAAAAAATCGAAAGATATTCCCCATCGCAGCTACACAGGGTAATATTTCTACCAACCAGAATGTGACTCTCACTCCTTGTGCCTCCTCAGTTAATGCACATTTGTCTTATGGCACTGGCAGCCTGGGGACAGAGGGAGAAGGGCCTCACACTTTTAAATGGTGAACACTCCATTGGAAGGCTTGAGATTGACCCTGTCACCAGTGTTTCTGGATGCCACCTTCATAGGTATTGTTGCTCTTTTAAACTCTGAACCTTCTGTCGAACTTGCTGCTCGTTTGGGTGGAGGTTTTTATTTGGGTTATATGCAAAACTTCTTGTTAACACCACCCCACTTCACCTGAAAGCCCTGCCTCTCCCTGGAGTTTGGTTCCGCTCTGAATGTACCCACTGTCCACCTGGTGCCTAACCCCTGGGTCATCCTTTATGTCTCAGCCTTGTTATTTTTCATGGGTCAGTCCATTCTGCTTTCCTCAAACTCCAGGTGAAATCCACTTCTGTTGAGGGAAGGTTAGATACCTTGGTTAATTAAGATGTTGCCCATCACAAAATTGAGTATTTGTGCCTTTGTGTTGACTCGCTACCCGCCATGTCTTATTTCCCAGCAGTGGCCTGGTTGAGAGCGGCGGGGGGGAAGAAGGGAGGTGGTTGTTATGTGTTTACACTGTTCTGTCGGCCGAGGAACAGGAAGGGAGGTTCTGTTGGCACAAGCTGCTCCTTGGCTTGAGGCTGTTGTGATGGGAGCTGATGGGCAGCCTGCCAGGGTGGGTCACAGTGCTGGCCTGCATTCCTCAACACTGCAGTTGTCAAGGCAAGGCACCAGCTAGCTGATGGGAATTGTGCTGTCAGGGGTCACAGAGCTGACCCCGCTACCTTGGAACAGTACCAGAGGCGGCATGGCCCCTGTTTGGAATCACACTGGGAACAAATTACAGGTTTGTTAATTGATTCCCCCCTGACGAACGGCAAATCACCCCAGACCCCCCCCACCCCCACTCCCCTGTGGTAAGGGAAGGAGTGGCTGAGATTAGTGGCTCAGTTTGAAGTTGGGTCGGGAATTTTTGGTCGGATTGTCTCCTTTGTAATTGCGACCTAAAACTTTTTGTTTGCGTGTAGCCCAGTGCAGAAGGAAACTGAAGTGTAATTAAGGAAGCAGTCTCGAGCCACAGCATAGCTGTGAGCTTGGAATCAGGAGTGGGCCATTCAGGCCCTAGAGTCTATACTGCCGTTCTATTCGATCATGCCCGATCAGTATTTTCATTCCCACCTCCCTG